CGAATCATTGTTCGATCAAGGGACGTCTGGTCAGCTTTTGTGGTGATCGATCAAAGGATTCTAAAGTTGTTTTTCTTCCTAATCCAGACCATAGGACGTCAGAGTCCTCCAAGATCCGAGTCAAGTATCCCGAGAGGATACCCGTCATCGTCCAGAAAGCGCCAAAGTCCCAGGTCCCGGACATCGACAAGAGGAAATTCCTGATCCTGCCGACATCACGGTGGCTCAGTCATGTGGATCATCAGGAAGAGGATACAGTTGCCTGCCGAGAAAGCCATCTTTTTATTTGTCGGCAAAGTACTCCCACAATCAAGGTAGTTAGCAAGGATAGAATCCCATCTTGTCTGTCAGAGGTTGGTTATAAATGATAATAATAATATTGTGGGTTATATGGTCCATAATACTTTGACGATGTCTCTTAGTCTTAGCGCTTTACAGATATATCATTACACCTGTCTTTTGATTTAGGGTTGCTCGCACGCAACGTACCGGTATGCACATTCTCGACTCACTGGGGAGCATTCTAGCCAGGCGCCATTTAAAAGATATGCTCACAATGATTTTCGCATCCTAACACATGGGTGGAGAGTGGCAAAAGTGATTTAATGTCTTCCCATAGGACGTTAGTCCCGGGATGTGATTAAAACCTTCAACCCTTGAATTGAGAGAGTCAAGTGAATGAAACACACACCACAAGTTCCACAACACCTCCTTGAATATTCTGGAGCACATTAGAGTAGACTTTACATCTCTGTTATAAAGGGACTAACCCATTGTCTGAGTCCTCTACTAATCGAGTGGTTCAGTTTAATCAGTTATAATATCTACGGGGAGTTATACATGTATATGAAAAATCAGTTGTAAAGGAGTTACCTCCAGGGCCTCATTTTACAAAAAGTTGTGATTGATACAAATCAATCTAAAGTACATGTATGCAGTCTCCTATCTCTTATGTACAATGTACATAGATAAGTTGTGATTAATATCAACTCTTTGTAAGACGGGGCCCTGATGTCTCCTTTAAGTGCATGTATGCTTCAAGTCAATCTCATCCTTGCCATGCACCTACCCCCTCTCCTCCCCCATTCTGATAATTAGATCAAGCCTGTTACCTGTACATTATACAAATTAGCTGTAGTGTTGACCAGTGACTCATTCATTAATTTGTTACTGAATACCAATGTGCAACCAGATTAGTGATAGCAGATAAAGCTTTAGGCTTACATTTTTTTTATCATTAAACTGTAAATGCTTATATAAATATATAAAGGCCTATGTTACTAGACAAGTGTGATTAGTGCTTGAAAGTATCTGTGCAATATTGCTCTGATGGTAGAATAAGGGTTAATAGAAGTAAAAAGAAATAGAACTGATTAGAATAGAATATCCATATAGTATAGTTCCTTTAAGATTATATGACAATTTTAGAAAAGAAGAAAAAAGAAATAGATTATCGAGGTACATGTACATGGTGAAGCAGTACGCACTCCTTTTTAATACAAGTAGCTACAATGTAAATGTGTATGCCCCACTACAGTTAGTAAAAAAAAACACTCAAATATAAATGCTTATATGTCTTTAAGATAAGAATTCACTTCCCACTTTACTTCTTATTTTTCAAATATACTCGGCAACAAATGTGGGGGCTCTAAGATTGAAATTATTGTATACTACGTTAGTACATATATGTACATGTAATAGAGATTTTTTTTTTTCCCATGCTAATATTATTTTGTTAAAATCCTTGCTACACCTAATGGCTTAAATGCCAAAAAGTAGGTAAAATATTGTCATGTAAGAAGTTATACAAATAGACTGTGTACACGTATATGAGTGCCATGATCAGGGCTCAAATTCAATTTTTGTCCACGGGGACTCTTCCAAAAAAAAATAGCCCCCGTGAACCTTCTCAGGGGGGCTCTTTTAGTGCTGACGGGGACATTTAATACAAATTTCCATTGGATTGGTACCCATGAAACTCCTAAATTCCTTGGTATTTTATCATTATCATTTATTTAAGTCGGCATTCTCCCTCTTAGAAATTTACTTGTTACATAGCTGTATACTTTTATCCCCGTGATCAGTGGCGGATCTAGGGGGGTGGGGGGCCGCCCCCCGCCCTGGGAAAAAAGAAGGGGGACAAAAAGGGGAATTTTTTCTTCTTTTTTTTTTGAAAAAAGAAGCGTTCCTTTCCTCTTGTATCACAGAGAAACAACAGTTTAAGTTAAGTCTAACGTTAACATTAATTTGTTATTAAAATGTAGAGTACAGCCCTTGGCCTTAGGCCTAATTTAATTTAGGTCGTAACTGTTACTGTTTGAAAATCTAAAGTAAAATTAGACGGTTTTCATGGTTAGACCAAGTAATTGAGAAAAAAAAGTTTACCCGTCACTGAGACCAGGTCAATCAATCTTCTAGATCCATTATTAGGGTCTAACGTTTAAGGTAGATGCAAGGCGCGGATCCAGCGAGGGTGAGCGGGCCTTGCCCCCCCCCCCCCTTCCGCAAAAGAGAGAGACAGAGAGAGACAGAGAGAGACAAGGAAAAGAGGGAAAGGGAAAGAGGAGAGAAAGGGAAAGAAAGAAGAGGAAGAAGAAAAGAAAAGGGGGAAGAACGAGATCGGGGGGGGGGGGGGAGGCGAAAGGGCCTTGCCTCCCAGGCTGTTGCCTCCCCCCAATAAAACAAAATAAGAGAGAAGAAAGGAAGGAAATGGAAAGAAAGAAAAAAGGAAAAGAGGAGATAAAGGGAAGGAAAATTGAGGAAGAAGTAAAAAAAAAAATTTTATTCAATCAATCAACGTCAAAGAATTGATTTATCATCGCACTTCAATTTATTATTTCACCTTTTAATGTACTTTCATTCTTATGCATCACGAAAGAACACTGAATTGGATTCTTCAATGTTTGTTTGATTAATTTCCTCCCCTTTCCTTCTCCCTGTTTAATGCTGATGAAATTTTCAATTTTCTTAATCAAGGCAAAATATTATTTTCATATTTTCTTTATGCAAGACAGGGAGAGAGAGAGAGAGAGAGAGAAAATATGCTAAGTGAGAATTATCGAGTACAACTATGAATTGCATCCTTTTCAATATTATTCAATTCGCTGAAAATCTTTATTTTATAATTCCACGGGGGCGATTTTTAATTTTGCAATCGCCACCATGGACAACCTGATGGGGGCGATTATGGAGCTCACGGGGGCGAATCGCCCATCGCCCCCGTGTATTTTGAGCGCTGGCCATGATCATGGGAGAAACTAATTGGCATCACCATTTAAAAAAAATAAAAAAATTCAATTAATGATGATAACTCTCATGATTCGATACCAGTGAGTTGAAACTAGAAGCAAAACTAAGTTGATAGAAACAGTGAGACAAACAAGCAAAAACATATGTTAGCAATACATGTGTTAGCAATACAGTGTATGTATTGTATGTAGAGAGGCCTGAAGTACCGGTAGTATTACAATTGATAAAACACAAAACACACCATATTTGTCTTGTTGATTATACAGTACATCAAATTTCATGATTGATGAAGGCCTGCATGAACAATGTATCTTACTGTATGGAGAGCAAGAGAAGAAAAAATGGATAGGAACAGAGGGATCGAGGGAGGGAGGGGGGGTTGCCTCTTTATACTCAATACATTTTAACAAATCCTCCATAATATGTAAATGAAGAAAACAAAAGTACACAGAAATTATATCTAACTGATGTAGGTTGCAATGCTCGAAAAATTTGGAAGTCTAAACATGATAATTTGACTTAAAGTACAATGTACAACCTGTAGTCTTTGAAAATGATACTTTACACTAATAACTTTAGAGATCTACATGTAGGTAGGTAAAGAGAGTGGGAGAGAGAGAAAAACAGACATGTACATTTACATAGAAAATCAAAGAGAAATAAAGAATGGCAGAATCAGAAGTAAATATCCCAACAATGACTCATATCACAATGAAACATAATCATGATCACATGTAGTCTGAATGAAAACAAGCTATTCACTCTAAGAATTGGGCAATTTGAGTCACACATTAGTGAGTCAGCATGGGAATTTCCTAGTATCATGCAGTTCTGTGCAGTTACACCCAACCGAACACTCTTCAGATGTCATGAACTCTTGGACTTTTTTGGAGTTAGTTCCTGATTTGTCTGGTTGAACATGTACTTGCAAAACATATTTGTACAGTGGTATACTACACTATTAAATTAATATAGGTAGATAACTAGATATACCTGTAACAGAAATGTGATATTCATGGCCTTCTTTTATGATAAAGTTGCAACAAAGAAAAAATGAACAAAAAAAAACAAATACAATGAATGATCTGACTCCTCAAAATATTGTAAATTCATAATTGACACACAATGTTATGTAGCCTATATGGTGGCATTAAAACTATGCAGAGTAATACATCACAAGGCTATAAATTAATGTTTATATAGGCTTGCTTCATGTACAATGTGTGTGCTAAATGCTGTATTACAACAGCCACATATAAATAACTATTTATGTTCAAAGTATAGATTTTATTGCTAAACCAAAACTTTGTATACCTGAAGTAAACTTAGTTTAAAAAAATCAATTAACTGACGAGTACATGTAGATTGTGCATAGTACTGTACATGTATTGTAGTCATCAGCAGTTAATTGTTATGATACATGTATATCATACAATCTAATAAAATAATAAACAGTATATACATCTATTGAAAAGAGATTATACAAAAAGGGATAAGAATTAAAAAATAAAATCCATGTGTACATGTATGTGCCTCTCAGAAGGAGTCAAGAAGAAACGTTTTTAAAGAGACATGCAGTGTACTTGTGGATCAGTGACAGGATAAAAGTTACATTTTGATATGAGTCAGAAAGAGGAACAAGACTGATTGTAGTCATGGTAATATCAAATATTACTTTAGATTGAGAATGATAAGCAAACAAGTAGGCTTAAATGTTGTCAAAGCTATGCTTTGTTACAATCATACCAAGCTTTATATTTTAGCATCAAATCATGTGCCATGAATTAGGTGATTAAATTTTGGCAACTCTGCTGGCTGATACAGTCTGACACAGATCTTAATATTACATGTACACTGATTGGTCATTTGATACGACGTCGATAGGATATATTTTGTACACAAAGTATCACTGACTTTTCTTTGTGGTTTGTGGATAGGTAATCCTCGTTTCCTGGCTAGTCACATGCTGGAAATCACATAATTGAAGAGTTAATATGCAAATTTTTGTGAAACTATTGGAAATAATTTGTTTCAATTTCATTGTACTCACTTCCATGTATTTCCTATGGCACATAAATAGGCATTGTTTTGGGACTTTAAGATACATACACATACATTGTATGATGTACATGTATGTGGGGTATAAGATGTACATTTATATACTTAAGCCCAGGTCCGGTTTTCTTTCATGATCACAAAGTCATGAAGATTTGCAAAATAAATGGGCGGATTTTGTTTTCACTTTCTCCATTTTTCTACATCATTTTTGTAAAGGTTGATGATGTGAAGGGGGAAAAATAAGTACAATACTAAGGCACCTACATGTACCATCTGGACACCCCCGTACCCCCTACTCCCTACTGAACCCCTAGGTACTTATTTTTTCTGAGGGTAAAACAGTAAGGTGGTACATGTAGTTGTCCTAGGGGAATAATTGTCCAAGAGAATTACCGTAGTAATTTTTTTTTTTTTTTTTTTTGGGGGGGGGGGGGGGGGTGGCAGTTGTTCTAGGGGAAGAGTTGTCCGAGAGAAGAAGCATTTTTTGGGGGGAGGAGGGGGCAGTTATCCATGCGTGTGTCTTTGAATGAAGAAGGAGAGAGGGGGGAGGGCGGTACTCTTTCTTATATGACAAAGTGCAGCTATATATACCTATATATTTATATTTTTTTATAGTATTACTAGTTAAGTATTTTGTAGAGTTTTAATAACTACTGTACGTTTACGTTCATCTCTGTCAATCTCTTCTTGTCTCTCTCCCACCCATCCATGCACAGTGCCACAATGGGTCACATCTACCAGGAACACAGAGACGCAGACGGATTCCTCTACGTCGCCTACAGCGGGGAGAACACCTTTGGGGCTACGCCACTATGAGCCCCCGGGCCAGGATGCACTCTTGCCATGGCCCGGCCGGAGGAGCCCCACCTAGCAACTCCTGATACTGAAACCACGGTGACTGACTGAAAATTGAGAATGAGAACTCGATGACTCTGTTTTGAAAGAAAGCAGAAGTATTATGAAATGAAGCTATATGGAGATCGATGCCCATGGGGGCACATTGCTATGTACTGCTTTGCTTCATCTATTTAACCAAAAGACTTTATAACAGAAGACTATATATTTGAGGACAGGTCCCTGATGCTGGAGGGCTGTTCACATATATCTCCAATGATGATAACGATAACACCCATCTCTGTCAAAAAGGTACAATGTACATGCACATGTACATATTTTCTTTCTTTATGCTAATGAGCATTTATCTCAGATCTGATTCCTTTGTTTGCATAAACTTTATTACGTGTATAGTTATTGTTATCATTTTCAGTGATATAATCTGTCTGGAGTCACAATAGTGTTAACTCACATGGCATATACTGTAGCACAGATTTAATGCCCTTGTGACTCCAAACAGACAATATGTGACCTGCCCCTAAGCCGACCAATTACCAGTTACAGTATATATGATTGTGCACGGTACACCAGTTACTACTGTCTGCATTGTAGGATATTTGTCTTGAAGCCTGCAAAGAATTCTTCATTTTCCTGCAATGCTTATATGTACTGTGCTCGTCTGAGAATAATCCCGTTTAACTTTAAATTTGGACCAAACTTCATTGATTTTCATTCTTGAAACCAAAGCATTGACCAAACATTACTGAGATTTACAGGTGATCATGTTGTAGATTTTGAGATTGGTAGTCCAGGATGAATTCATCGCAATTGAAATGAAGACATTGATAGGACGAGACATGAACATTTAATATTTATGGCGTTATTTAAAAAACAGATCATATCTGCAAGCAGCAAGTATAAATTTGCTTTATTTTTATTGTGTGGTTTTTGATGTTCAGGGGAATGGAGGAAGGGCATTGGTTTTGATGATTTCTGTCAAGTTTTGTTTCGATATTAGTTTCGATGGTACCTATTTTTTACAGTATTTACCTCTGTACCCGTAGTACTGATATCTGCAATGTAATACAGGGGGTGTACATTTGTGCTTATTATGGTGTACTTGATGGGGTTTTTCCTTTAGCAGCTCACTCGGGAAGCTAAACTGGGATGGTAGGTGAGGCAAATAGCTGCAAGGAGAGCCACGAAGTGCAGAAAGGGTGTGTGGATAAAGCACATATCAATTTACGGTTAAATGTACAAGTCCAGTGCAAGACAAAAACCATGCCTGTAATCTTAAAGCCCCACCGCACTACTTATACCTACATGTACTTGTGCCCTCTATATAGCAAACAATGCCTAATCGGTGACTATTGGTGCCCCATGGTCCCCTTTTTCTTATGTTAATTGGGAGCTGATTTTATGAGATAACCACCTGCCAGTGACCATGCACACTGGGTGGTCTAATCCCTCCTAGTACAGACAGGCTTGAAGCTATGTGAGAGTCTAACTGGAGGCTGTATAATTCTGATGAAGGGTAGCTAGAGCCAGGCGCGGATCCAGGATTTCTTAGGGGAGGGGGCCCAACTTTTTTTTTTTTTTGCTCCCGAAAATTTGAAAAACGCGCCGGCCAAAAATTCGCTCAGTGGGGGGGGGGGGGGGGGTGGGGGGTAGTGAGTACATTTTTCAATTTCAATTTGCACCCCCCCCCCTGAGCGCCAGGGGGGGGGGGCCCAACCCCAAAAATCGTAAAAATCACGTGATTTTACATGATTTTTTTCTCAAGGGGGGGGGGGGGGCCCGGGCCCCCGTGGCCCCCCCTCTGGATCCGCCACTGGCTAGAGCAGCCTCCTTGAAGTACCTGCAGGTTGTTACTCTTGCATTGACCTGCCGCTGAGCCTGGTAGATGGTTCCAGATCATTGGTCCTTGGTGTATACATGTACACCACCGTATACACCACCAGTGTATACATGTACACCATCATGTGCAGGTACATGTACATGCTTGTACATGTATAACCATATTCTCTCGCCATGGATCAAAAAATCCAGACTGCCACATTATTTGAAGAATATGTTATACTACATGTATCAAAATGTACATTGTGTGTGTGTGACAAAAGTCAATGGTGACAGTCTACTGTTTGTTCTCTGAGTCAAAATAAGCAAGCAAAGAGTTAATTGGAGAAAAAAGTTGATGCCGCATCCTTCTTTACTCTAAAATTATAATTACTTTAAAATTATAATTACTTTCAATTGTGTTGTTAATTGGACTTATATCTATATAGCTAATTGAGTAACATGTAATAATAATGTGCTGTGTCTATTTTCATGTTTTTCTCACAATCATGGGACAAGTCATAATTAATTAAACAATTTACATGAAGCTGAAAAGCTACACAATGTACTTGGTGTTTATCAGAAAGATAAGTTGCAGAGCATGGTAATGTCATATCATATTTATGGGATCATTATGCCAAAAGATGCTGCTTCATGTGGAATCAGCTGGGATCTGTTGCATAAAATTTAACATTAACCTCTACCATCAATGGTAACTACCATGGTAACATTGCTCAACAGCCAATCAAAATCAAGTATTCCATGGTAGTTACCATTGATGGCAAAAAGTAATACCATCAACAATGATTTTTATGCAACGCGACCCTGATTATTGGTGCCATCTACAATATGGCAAATAATGTTAAATTCAGATAATCATAAATTTTAGCAGGGGGGGGGGCATGTCATGACATACATTACCCCCCCCCCCCCCCTTGCAACTTCAAACATCAGGAAATTTCTCAACTCTTCGCTGCATGGAACCAAACTGAATGCTCCTGGTTCCTCAATCTTTCTCCCCTGACGCTCCAAGAAGATGTCATTAAGGTTTTTCTTGCTTCTAAGTACATGTAGATGAGTAAAAGGGGGATTGTCCCAAGTCTGGTGCAAGCACACTCTCATGTTGCACATATGCAGAGTTTAATTCCAAAAGGAGCTAAATCCATTTTTGTAATTTCGGAGAAAAAAGAAATTGTCTACCATATTTTGTACAGGTGTCCATGGGAAATTGATATTAGAAGGTGCATTTTGTCATAATTGCTCCCAAAATTTAGGTAAATAATTTTGTTGAAAGACGAGTACGTAAGTAAAACATTGTTCTGATATCAATAACTCAATTTTCATCAGAAGTGGATTTAGCTCCTTTTGATATAAGCTCTTCAATCTATAGGATCTATCAAAAGATACTCTTCAGTCAAATGAAAAAATGGTGCACATTTGAATCAGGTCCACAATTATTGCTTTCAGCTAAACAGTGCCTTTCCATCCTCATTTTTGTTAAATGCAAATGTTTGTACTTTATTTTTGAATGGTTGATTATCATATTGTATTAATTTTGTATTGCTTTTTTGTTTGTTTCAGTTATTAAATTAATTATGATCGATTGTTAGGTATTTGCTTGTAATAAAATTTAGTCATCGAATATGCTTAAAGCCATGCGCTATGTGTTGCAAAATATAGTAAGCAAAAGTTAAAGTGCTGTGAAGGTTTTTTTTTTGTTGCTTTAAGTATCATTGTTTTGGCATGTTGCTTGTAAAAAATAATGTTCATTTATGATACACATTTTCATTGGGGAAAAATAAAGTTTTTTTAAACACTCATTTGGTGCTCCCTTCCCTCCCACCCTTTCTCTCTATCTCTCTCCATCTCCCTCTCTCTATATATATATATATATCTCTTCTCTCTTCCTCTTGCACTAATATGAGTGCATGCTCATACAAAATATATGTATCTTGATTGCCATTTTGAAATGGGTTCTATTGCAACATTCCATGGTTACGTATAACTATCATGATGTACAAGATATTTGGTGTAATATAATACAATCAGGGTTATAAAACATGGTACATGCATTATGTACAGGCAACAGGCCAATTCTTGTAAGTATAATTGAGCACAATGTAGACTTTGATCATGTACATATACACTGTACGATAATTACTCAAACATGACAAACATATTATACTGACAGTTTAAAGATTCATAGTTTATATAGTGTATTTATCATACAAAGTGCAGTTTTTATGACAATAAAATGTAGTGTTTTTGTCATTGTATAACTATTTGATGTTATCATTCCATTATTCCTACAGAATATAGCGTCATCTCTCATATTTTATCCAATTTTTGTCAACTTGAAATACAAAAATGTTATAAAGATACTGAGTGTACATATAGATATGATTGCATATTAATGGTCTTGTGTATAAAATGAAGCTTATGAATAAAGAATGGTAAAAAAAAACAGGTACGAATGAGTTTTTTGTTTTGTTTTGCTTTGTTGTGAATACAGTCACAATACAATCGTGCAGGGTTCAAACAGCATGGTCGCGGGAGTTGTATGACATCGACATACAGCCAACAGCCGAAATCCTAATTTCAACATTCAATTTGGACCAGACCCTATATGGCTATCCCTAACTCTACACCAATCATAAACCCCAATTGCAACCCCAATTACAAACCCAATCACATCCCTATACTTTAGAGGATACACAGTCTGGACCAAAATTATTGTTATTATTATTGTTATTTATTATCATCTTCATCACATTATTTGACTACTTTTTATTTTATCCTTAATTTTTTTTCATTTTGGTAATTTTGATGCATGCATAAATAAATGACAAATAATTTACAAAAGAGTTTACAAAAAGAGGTTAAAAATTACAAAACAATGTTCAAATCTTGTCCATTGCGGTTGTTCTTTGATTTTGATCAATAAAAACTTAATTTAAACAAAATAATTTGAAAAAAAAGTATTTTTTGATAGCGTGAGTGTGAATGAGCCGAATCGAGAGCGACTGAAGAGACGGTGTTGGGCGAAGGGGGCGCCCCTTTCTAAAAACAAAATATTTGCCGGGGGGGGGGGGGTGCTCATCCCATGGATTTGTCTTCAGATGTAGATTCGAAAATAAAATGACAAACTGCAAACCAAACTCCCAAACCTGCAATAATTAAGGAAAACATTAAAATAGGTACATATCAGGAAATGGCCATTGGTTCTAATGCTGTATCTTGCAAAGATGCATGTGATTTACGCCTGCAAAGTTTACCCGCTGTGCATGGAAATACAGTCAAAATAACTGAAGACAACTATACACACTTTACTTTTTGTTCAAACGTAATAAAAAATGGACTTATTTGCTATTAAATAATCGATTAAACAATCTTTTAGTACTTTTTCTGTTGGTCAGTAGACCACAACCAAAAGTGCGCCAACTCTAAAGTTAAAGATAATTAATCACGGATTTCTCATACATAAAGAGGTTGTCTTTCACCTCTGTTCATGAAGCTCAGATGGACGGGAGTAGGGTGGTAGTTACATAAATTATACGGAGGACATACTGTGTATGATCGAATCTCTTTAAATTATATTGCAACAAAATACATTCTGAAGAAAGATCTAGATATGTTAAGTACTATGTAAAGTCCACTTTTCAGTCTTCAGATAATCGAAGGTTTGTAATTATGAATGGATCATATTTTTTTAAGTCCGATTACTTACATAAAAACTCTAAATGAAGAGGAAACTCTTCTTTTTCGTCTTTTTGGCCGCCTGTACAAACAACGAAGACATCGAAGGAGACTAGCTGGAGGATACATTTATTCTAAAGCGTCTCGATACACTGTTTCAGGATAGGTGCATTCATTGATAAATGAACAATGAACAATGACTGCTAATTATGTAAACAAATGCTTATTATGTTAGACAAGACATAAAGATATTGCGATAATCTAGGAAATTATGTGATTTGGGTAACTTTGTTCTCATTCGATAACCAATGTATCGTATACATTGGCTTATAAATAATAAAGTACAATATAGTCTATTATCATGTAAATAATTATGTAAAACTAAGTTTTAAATCGTAAAGTCGTAAATGTAAAATGTCCGGTCCCTCGGAGAGGACCTAAAGCCGTCGGTCTTCTGGTTGCTTACTAACAAGCATTTATTGCTTTCTTAGCTGTCAGGTAAAATAACCACTACCACCACTTTTATTTTTGTCGGCAAAGCATGAATACATAATGGGGGTAATGATGATAACGTCTTAATGAGTTATTATTTCTTTACATATACATATGTTGTCCGTATGGGGTGAGTATACATAAATACAAGATTTAATACGAGTTTATAACATGCATAAAGCGCAAAAAAAAACACGAAAGTCTTTGTACATATGCACATTGTTATTACGAACTTTTTTGTTGCTTAAAATTTGGAAGCTTAATTTCCGTAAGATAAAGAACAATCGTACTTTTATAACGATCAGTACCATAACTACGGTAGGCAGGGGAGTACGTGCGTAACCCCCCCCCCCCCCCCCCAAAAAAAAAGTGTAAAAAAAAAAGGAAACAAAAGAGGGGGAAACTGGAGAGGTAAGAGCAGGGGCGGCGATCCGTGTTGACCCCCCCCCCCCCGGAAAATGTGAAACAGTTCTCCCCAAAATGTATTGCTGATTAAAGACTGCAACACATATTTAGGCTCTGATGGAGTGCCAAAGAGTGCAGCGTTTAGGCAAATAAAAATTTAAAAATCTTCGCTCCCTCGCATAGTATCCTTCAAAATGTACAAGCAAATATATTTGTAGTAAAGTGAAGTGTGAAAAAAGTATATTGCTTGTTTTTATACTATAGTTTTGCTAAGGAAGGTAATTTTTTGATACAACAAAACTTCAAGGAGCAGTAAGGAGGTAGTCACTTCCGTCACCTTCACCCCTCTAGTTCGCTATGCTCCCTCACACTGGCGTACTGATCACTGGTGCCATTTCAGCAACATTTGTAAATCACTAATTTAGTGATTTACAAATGTTGCTTTTTACAAATGTTGCTTTTGCAACTGGGATCTGTTACTCAGGAAGTCACACACAACGGAAATGATAGATTGACTGACACCCATATTTATCATCTTAGTTACTAAAACGGTATGATCGATAGCATCAAATGCTTTGGCATAGTCAACTCTGCCAAGTATATCAAGGATAGAGATATCAATGAACGTATGTACTTTATTTCAATAAAACATGGATACAATGACAATCCCTCTAAAAGGGTCAAGATGAGAATGTTACTGAGGACTTTCATTGCTGGTGATAGTACCTGCTTTTATCTGACAGACAAGAAGAAATTTGGTGTAATGAATACATTAGTTTAAAGGGAAAGTCCACCCCCAAAATAAGTTTGTTTCGATAGAGGCAGAATAATAAGAAAATCAGGTGAGTGAAAGTTTGAGCAAATTCTGAATGAAAATAAGAAAGTTATGAATTATTGAAGTTGTGATCAATCAAATACAAATTGGTAACTCTGTGACTTATTATACGAGCTCTCCTTCATTTGCTTTGTGCATAATATTCCATAAAATCATGTTTTCTTCGTTATTGATGACGGAATATATATTTGTTCCTTGCAGGGGGAGTATAGAAACATATTTGCAATTATTATATTTAGGGTGCATGTATGGTTGAAATTTTTCTTGAGGGAAAATGACAATTTTAGATTTTTTTAGTACTGAGCAAATGGAAGTTGAGCTCGCATGATACGTCATAGAGTTGCCAATTTGTGTTTGATTGATCACAACTTCAAAAATCCTAACTTCCTTATTTTTAATCGGAATTTGCTCAAACTTTCACTGACTTGTTTCTCTCATTTTTCTACTCCTATTAAAAAAAACTTAATTTCAGGGTGGACTTCCCCTTTAAGTGAAAGTACTATGTAAGATGAACATCTACCAGCATGAATTAGAATCAAATGAACTCCTATAGCTTAAGCAGGGCTCCCACTTAGCCGAGTTGGAGCCTCGAGTTGTTGCGAGCTGGCGCGATCTTATGGCAAGCAGTTTAATCATTAAAACATATTTCTTGATATCACGAATTCAATTCTTGATATCAAGAATTACCATTGCTTTACAACGTAAAATTATTTCTTCATATCAAGAATTGATTTCTTGATATCAAGAAATATGTTTTAATGATAAAACGGCTTGCCATAAGATCGCGCCAGCTCGCCACAATTCGAGGCTCCAACTCGGCTAAGTGGGAGCCCTGCTTTACATGTCACATGAGTTATAGTAGTGGTTTCTAAAGGGTAAGTGGAGTCAGTGGACACCATGCGGGCGTTATTGCACAATTGCAGCTGCTGTCAATCACAAAGAGTGCACTGAACTTCCACGACCGACGTATATAGAGCAAGCACATCGATAGACAGTAAAATACTAGCTCTACCGGAAAAAAAATCGATGTACCTATATATAGAGCTGTCAAGTTATAAAGACAGTATATGAATTGTCGTCTGTGGAAAGAGCTACGGTTTGGACTACTTGCTACAATTGTCTTGTTGAATGTTCGTGTACAGGATCAAGGAGTTGTCCTCCGGATAGAAGCAAAGATGAAGTGGGGTTTCAAAGAGGAACATTCTGAAGGTAAGATGTCATTACACTACCGAAAGAAAAGTGACCGAGTTGTCACTCTGTATGATTTGTGCATTGTTTCTTGCAGTGATGAAACACTTTCAAATATCAGTTTGTATTCTAGTATTTTTATGTGTGTAACCCCCCCCCCCCCCCCCCCCCCCTACTAGCACTGCATCCTGACTTATGGATCCTGCTGATTATCGTCGTAGAAGTAGAAGTAGAAGTATCTGTAACTGACACTTAAAAAAAAGAGCCGTGTACTTATTTCAATCTCTCATGATTTGCGAACCGTCACGTCAAAAAGAGACAGAAGTCGCATTTTTTCAAATTCTATTTTATGATTCTTTTGGATTTTCCGTTTCATAAGCTTGATATTTCGCTCAATTTTAGAGTATTAGTGGGGATAATAGCTGTTAAACGGTGAGAGGAATAGGCATTAAAAAAAGGTATTTTTACAAGAAAAACGCTTCCAAAGTTTGAATTCCGTTTTGTCTTCAATCATGAATTTTACTTTTTCTGTCAATTTCCTTTTGAAAAAGGCCCTATCAATCGATTTTTAATTTGAATAAAACCTAGTTTTAACTATTTCTTTAGGATCTCTTCCCACGAGAAACATATGATTTAATTTAGAAGGCTGCCCTAGCTGCTTGCGGGTTCTTTTCATGCTTTTATTCGTATAGCCCTTCCATGTCGGCAGAATGCTCTGCTGTTTTTTAAAGCTAATTTGGGGACAAGTTTTACAAACTTTTGCGGCCTTTCGTTTTCCGAAATGTAAAATTGAGAGGGGGAGTTCATCATGTCATTTGCTTTCTTTTCAAAGAAAGGCAAATTGTACCATTAGCTTTTGGTACAATATACCATCACACATAATACATTCGCAAATCGTATAGTGTCTGATTTTAAAGCTAGCTATCTTTAACTTATAACCAAACGATTATTGACATTCTTCTTTCCGATTGAGTTTCTTTTTGCTCTCTTTCTAAAATCACGCCTTGATACAATTATTATTTTTCTCTCTCTTCCTTCTATCTCTTTTTTTTCTATCATCTCCCTTCTTATCATCATGTTAAACAGTAAAGTGACGATAATCAGAATACTTTTGAGACTGTAATTACTTTTCTCAAGCCTTCCAAAAGAGATAGGTTTTTTTGTAAGATATACACAACCCTAACATTATTTACTCCTTGAAAAGAAAATAGCTCTTGTGTCATAATCTCGAGACAGTTCCCGTTCTTTCTCTTGTATAAAAAACAAATATCTTCCTTTTCTTTTCGTTTCACAAAAGAGCAAAATATTTTCCCGCATCTTAAAACGCACCCGGATGAGACAACTTTTTTTTTTTTTAAGTGACTCGGTATAACATTGTTGAAGGTTGCTGAAAAAATTGTGTCATTTTTGTATGAAATGTTACTTTTTATATTCCTTCTACTGTTCTAACCCTCGAACAGGCAAAAAATCCAGAGAAAATCCTCAATCCACAAAGATATTTATGGTTTTCTAGTATGAAGGTGTCAATGTGCAACACCTTTTAACAGTGATTAACAGTAAATTCTCCCAACCATTTTTGAATTTTCCCCACCGTTTTTCCTTGAAAATAAGACTTAAAACAGGGTATACAAAATCTGTCACTACACTTAAAGGTCTGGAATGGTATAAAGAGCCAATTCATTGCTTTGTAATGATTTACATTCACCTAAAATGTAATTAAATTGTAATAATATAGTTGGAAAAATTAAGGAATCGATCAGATCAGTTTTTCCCAATTTGTATAGTTAATAATGGTCCGTTTTCACTCAAACTTTCAGATTATCTTTAATTGTACATCTTGCATTGAACTCACTACCTTAGCACCATTTTCTCTCATCTGAACAATGTTACGCTCATGAAATCTCGCCTATTTACTGTTCTTTCATTTATAGCGAGATTTCTGTTTGCCCATACTATCATAATTATACTATATATACTATTATATTATACCATATTTACCACTGCACTGTAATATAATAATACTATACTACCACAGTAGCGGATCATGGCGGGCGCTGCGGGGCCCCGACCCCCTCCCCTGGCAAAAAAAAAACAGATAAAAGCATGTCAATTTTACCTTTATGATTTTGTTTAACAAAAGAATACGGGCCCCCTCCCCTGGCAAAAAGAAGCTCACTACCCCCCCCCCCCCCTTTAATTTTTCCATATGATTTACGATGAATTATAACAATTATTTGCTTCATTGATGGAAGCATTTAGTATTAAAAAACCCTTGTTTCCCCTGAAGTTAACTTTCTGTTCCTATTAACCATGGAGTCGCGATTCATTCACTCTGTAATTAATAACCAATAATTACCTTTTTTCTTGCATTCATCTCCTTGATACAGAGGCCCGGAAATCGGAGTCGGCGGAATTCCGATCCAAATACCCAGACAATATACCAGTCGTAGTCGAGAAAGAAATGAAATCTGTTATATACAAGATATCGACAAGAGAACATTCTTTAATTAATAACCAATTATACCCTTTTTCTTGCATTTATCTCCTTGATACAGAGGACCGGAAGTCCGAGTCGGCGGAATTTCGATCCAAATACCCAGACAACATACCCGTCGTAGTCGAGAAAGAAATGAAAAGTTCTATACAAGATATCGACAAGAGGAAGTTCTTACAGCCAGCCAAGACAACAGTGGCGCAATTCGAGTATATAATAAGAAAGCGAATCCAACTACCTCCCGAGAAGCCCCTCTTCTTGTTTGTCAACGAAGTAACCCCCGCAGCAAGGTGAGTAGCATCAGGCACTGGCGTATTTGAGGGAGGGGCAAGGAGGGGAGGGGGGGGGGGGGGGGGGAGTGCCCCTTCTGACATCATGGTTTCCAACCGCAAAATCAAAGAAGGTAATAGATTACAGAATCATATTTCAGCGATAATAATGGTGAGATAACTCCTCCCCGGATAAAACTCAGGAGGCATTTTCAGAAGTTTCAGTTCAGTTGCAATTTAGGCCATGTCCAGCATATATATTTTAAGAGGCACCCCCCCCCCATCCCCCCACTCCCAACCCTGAACACAAAGCGGGGGTATCCACCTATGGCTGCCTTTATTAATTTTACGCATCTCCCCGTAAGCTCGGGTGTTTTGCACCCTCTGAGGCCAATGTCTGTATGAGGCCTCATTTCTAAAATTTTGGAAAATTTATTATTGATAACAGGCTTTTATGAAACATGGTCTTGATACCGTTTCTGCAAGGGCATATCAATTTAGTGGCTATTCTGTATGACGTTGATTATACAGGGTATCTTTGTAAATATATTATATATAGAAATGTACTGCACTTTGGGAGCCATATAATTAGAGATACTCGAGGTGGGAGATAACCACAGAGCTGGGAAAAAATAGAAATGATCCCATACTTCTAATAAGTAGGTTACAAACAGTCACCTATTGATAAATTGATAGCCAGGAAAAAGGTACCTAGGTGAAAATTTAGTTACACTAAGTACAGTGTGTGCGGGCAAGCACTGAATCCAATGACCGGGGTAATAGTATATTTGTAAAGCGCTTAGAGACATTTGTAATAAGCGCTATATAAAAATTAAATATTATTATTATTATTATTATAGCGCACAAGGGCATTTTAAAGGTAATGCAAAGTTTTGGTATAGGGTCGTGAATTTGGTTCAAAAGAACATATTTGAAGCATATGCGATCCTACAATAATCAGTGATTGTTGTCGCGGTTGAAATCGAGTCTAAAGTGATGAAAGTGTAAATAATAGACTCTTTATGTAGTATAGCTCCTTCTCAAGGTCAAGATATTAATTTAGCTATAATAACACAGTTTCTTGACTCAAATCGACAGATTAGCTATTCCCGTTTGGAAATTATATATCACAACTGCATATTATGAGATTTTCATGATCGCAGCTATTATTGTAAGGCCGTATACGCTATTTGAAATTTATCAAAATTTACCGGGAGCACCGGTAAATTTTTATATTCAATTTTTCTCAAAAGCAGAAGTGTTATAAGGACTAAATTTTCTAGTGCTTATAATACACCCACAGGGGCATCAAAATATATAAAAATTGTAGAATCACTATCCAGCCAATTTTCAAAATTTTCCAAAACTTTGTATTACCTTTAATTTACTAAAAAAATAATTTATTTTTGCCCTCTTAATAAAGTAGTTTAAAGAACGCATATCTTATTGTGTACACTGACAGACACATACATTTATCTTCTGATTTATATTTTGCCTGTGTGTGTCTGTTTTGCATGTACAGTTCAACTCTAGCTGAAGTTGATGCAGAGCATCGCGATGTTGATGGATTCCTCTACATTTCCTACAGCGGAGAGAACACTTATGGGAATTAGCAACTTTGAGCTCTGGATACATCATCCCTGTGTGTGATGCCAGCCCAACACGTGAAACATATTCACGATGACGATGATGATAATATAATAATAATTATGATTATAATAATAACAATAATTTAAAACAATATCATTTAAAAAAAGAATAATACATGTCATTTCATAATAGTAATAATAATAATAATGATGAAGATAGTGATAAAAAGAAGAAGAAGAACAATTAATAATAATACAAAGAAGAGTGATGATGATATCTTGTATAATGCGAATATCCCCTAACTTGGGCACTCATGTATTTCTTTCATGCATTTCCCACCTACAAGTATTTCATTTGCAAATTTGGGAACAAAGACTCCTCTCACTAAAGCATAATTTATATATGATAATGGAATTTCTTTTTTTTTCAAAGCACATCGCACAAATGCCAAGAGTTAGTTTATCAGAAGACACACAATAATATGTTTTTGAAATATTTAATGATTGATTCCAGCACAATTTGACCAATTTATTTCTCAGAAGTGTCTTATATTACCTTTAAAGGTAATAGATGTACTACATTTCCCCTTAAATCAATATTCTTTATGTATGGTATGTATTTTAATCTCAAGAATTCTTATGGTTTGAGAGCCGAATCAAAAAAATTCCATTTAATCAAATATCAAAGTAAAGTGCTTGTTACTTTTACCAAGACTGGGCCAAATTTTTTATCATTTTGATGATTCCAGAACCTTGCGGTACACACCAATACTTGTATGCTACATGATCACATTTTCTGATCGATTCCAGACTGTTTCTTTCACAATGCAATCGCATGACCAAAACTCAACTTTATCTTTAAAGGCTCATAGTAGTGGTTTCTAACAGGTAATTTGACACCAATTGCAGGTGTTGTCAATCCCCAAGAGTGCACTGAACTGTTATGACCCACAGGCCTTGTGTAATGCACTGGCCCTAGTTGAACCTACCACCTTTACTTAGGGAATTCTCATCATAATAACATTTCACTTACCCTGGAGATATGAAGGAAAGGTGGACTATTTTCTATTGGGACCTTTGAGAGAACTGGGCCCCGTCTTACAAAGAGTTGCGATTGATCCAAATCGATCGCAAGTTCTCCAATCAGTTGCAAGTTTGCAATCTCCTATCTCTTGTGTACATAGTTGCGATTGATATCATTCGCAAATAAGTTGTGACTGATGTCAACTCTTTGTAATTCAAAGCCCTGCATGTACACACACCAATTGGTAATCCAACCAAATCTGGTGTCAGTGAATGATGATGCAATACACATGGACACTGACTACTCTGTGGCTTTAAATTATGTTCATATTGTCATGTTCTTGTCACTAATTAAAGACTGAAATAACTCACTGATGCACAAAGATGTCTGACATGAAGTGTCCAACTTCATTCAGTTGTCTGTCGCCCTCTATCTGAATAGACAGTACAGTGTTATAACTTTTAAGTCTCATAAAGAAGATATTGTCACACACATCACTGAAATTGTGAGAATTCAACCGGTTTTCTGGCCCATGAGCTGAAAACCTTTAAAAGTTGTGTCCAAGCCTTCTGGTAATGGCTGGCGGCCATCTTGTAATCATGATAGGTCTTCAGGTCATCATGACTTTGGAGTGTCTGGGGCAATTTGTCCCTGTCTACACCTGCTAGAAGCTTCTTGAAAAGATGATAGAGTTGGCATCTGCAATTCTTGCTCCTGCATGCATATGGAAGAGAAAGTTAACAGACGGAACCATTTATAAAGCCTTTCATTGACAATGGTAATATTGAACTGTACGATTCTCGGTGGAAATAATAATAGTATCATAAGTAATTGCATGTATTTATATCCTTAAAAGACTTTATTTTCCATCTAATAAAAGCTTGTGATCTTAAAAATATTAAATAATAAGTACAGTTCACATAAACAAAGGATGAGTTCAACATAAAAAGTCACTTCACTGCATCAAAAAGAGAGAAAACAATAAATAAACAGATATACAAAGATAATGTTTATTAATTGATTAGTGACTCTGAAAAATAGTCGATGTTTAGCCATTGTAGTACCTTTTGTAGTACCTATTCAAACACTTGACAACAATTGATCTCTTTTCAGAATACAGTATTTCATGGCACAGTTGTACGACACTTGCTCCCGAGACAATTACTCTGTCAATTTCCTACCCTGACCAAATTCTTAACTTCATTCAACCCTGGACCCAACACTATACCTAACCCTAAACCTAACCCTAAATCTAATCCTAATCCTAAACCTAAACCTAACTAAAACCCATCTGCAACCCTACCCTATTAATGTGACGAAACAAAGCACGGATTAATTGTTGCAGGAGTAAATTTCAGGTCAAGCATGGCATATCTAATTTCAAAGATAAGGTTCCAGGAGAAGCAATGAGCTATTATCATACTTACAAATCGACTAAATCTGATATTGATAAATCTGAAACTAGGCCTATGGGAAGTACAGAATTCAATATTCAACAACTTTAGCAACCGATGCCATGGAGAGTGTTACCTTGATTGAGGATCATTCCATCTCTTAGCTGTAGCACCTTGTCTTTTTCCATTGGCTGTCACATCAACAGGCTGGTCAGGTACGTAACTCCAAATGATGGCTTGTCAAGGCGAAAAAGGAACAATATGGTTGATTGGTTGATACAAATATAAAAGAATTGCATTGACAGAGACATACTAAAGATTTGTTTGTCTTAAAGTGACTCGCTAACATTGCCTCAGATTCTGAAACAAAATCCTGGATTTAGCTCATGCTGCAATCATAATCATAAACCTTTAGGTCAGTCAGGAATCCCATGACTTTTACAAGGCCTGTCTGATTATCAAGATATTTATGATTGGAAATCAAAATTTCATTTTTCGTTTTCATGACGTTTTTTATAACACTACAGTCTATAGGGGAAAAGACTATGGTAAATCCGGTCACTCAAAGATTTTTATTTTTTGAGGCACTTCATGATCATTTTGAAGTGCAACTTTTTTTTAGGGCTTCAATATTACACCATATCACAGACACTAATAACACATAGCATCTCAGATTTAACAATTGTTAAATGATGCCTTTAAAAATGCACTATAACCCGGAACTGCATGAAACAAAGCTCTCAAAGATTGCCGCATCCTCCTACCTACCTGCTCCAGCTGGTGTCATCTTGCCTTTGCTTGGATCTCTCCTCCTCTCTACCTCCGTCCTGGAGTCTTTGAAGATGATGTTGGTCTGCATCACTACCGGTGAGTTTACGTGGTAACCAGGTGGAAGATTGCTCACAGGCTGCACTCTTCCAATGATTGCTCGGTGCATGGCCTGGCTGTTGAATGGACATCTGTTTTGCCATTAGAAAAAAAGAAAGGGATAGTATCAAATAGATCAAAGCTCATCTGCACTACTGAACAAGAGGGATTAGACCACGCTGCAAGGTCACTGGACAGGTGATTACTGTATCTCATCAACTCAGCTCTCAACTAACATAAGAAATAGAGGATCATGGGGGACCAATGGTCACCGATTATGCATTGTTTGTTATATAGAGGGCGCAAGTAGCTATAAGTAATGCAGTGGGCCTGTAAGGGTAGGGATATTCATAGACGAGGAAGTAGCTTTGGGAGTTTGGGTAAAAAGATTCAACATGAAAACCCATTAAAGAAAAGAAGAGCATGTGTACAGAATAAAAGGAAATAAAATTAATGGATGAAAATCATTTGATTTCATGACTTTAAAATACAGTATGATTATCATGATATGAATAGCAGGCATAAGCAGTAAACACATTGATTGGTGTTTTAAAAAAAACAGGGATTTGACAACCACATATTAGACAGAGAGACCACTTTCAAAATACATGTACAAATTATTCCACTTGACAACAGTACACTTATTTGCTAATATCACTTGATCTTTGAAATGTTTTCGATTTTTTTTGTTATGATTCATAAATTGCTACTGAAACATTGGTGTCATATTTCTTTTACTGTAACCTCCCAATTCTGAAATGTACATGCTGTACATCATGACAAACATAAATGTGAATACATGCTCCTGTATAACATCAAAACAGAACAATGAACATTTCAATAACTTAAAACTTACTGTCCAATAGTAATGGAGGATAAGTAGACAGGTTCTGAGATAAGATGGGACAGCAGAGCCCCCTGAAGTCCTACAACATTCCACTTGGCCATCTTATCACTGCAGGACATTGACAGGGTCCTGTCCCCACGGCCTGGTTTGATCCGCAGAAGTCCCACAGTATGGTAATCCTCACCGTCCGCTAGTTGGTCTTGTGGACCAGTGGGCGTTGGCTTGGCACCTGTCCTATAAATGTCTCTCTTCAGAGGTATTGCACTATTCATTTCGGAGGCATCTGTGCATCTGGTGTGGACACTACTTTGGCCAGAAGGCACTTCCTCAGAGGCACTTCCACTGGGGAGTACACTACCTGTCTTGATATCAAGTCTAGGACAACTTTGATCTTGTGGACCTGTCCTGTAAATGTCCCTCTTCAGAGGTATTGCACTATTCATTTCGGAGGCATCCGTGTGTCTGGTGTGCACACTACTTTGGCCAGAAGGCACTTCCTCAGAGGCACTTTCACTGGGGAATACTCTACTCGTCTTGATATCAAGTCTAGGACAACTTTGATCTTGTGGACTGTTCAAGGTGTCGCAGGATACTGGAAGTTCATCATCTATGGGACAGGTTCCTGAAAGGCTTCCCCTGTCTTCGTCTGATACCCGACTACCTGGCATATCATTTATACAAGGTGAGCTAGAGACTAGTTTAGTCTCACTGCAGGAACCTATTTCAATCAGTTGGTCCTGCATCGTTCTTGTCAAAGGCACTAATGCAGTTTGATGATCATCAGCAGGGTAGGATGAACATCTTTCTGCATGCTGGTCGTGATTACAACACATCCTCCTCTCAATATGGTTCTGGGTTTGGGGAACAACATGGTCTGAAACTGACTCTGATAAATCCAATTTCATTTTCTGTGTCATTGGTAGATTGGACCCATTCACCTCCTCTTCTGCTTTTCTCTTATTCAAACTGCTCATGGAATGTTTATTAATGATGTTTTGTGGGTTTTGATCAATATCATGCTGTGATGTTGGCTTGGTATCTGTAGAACCTTGGTCGTCTTTTGTGAAGATTGATGCATCACCACCTGCACATACCGGTATCACGAAAGAACAAAAATAAAGTAAGGATGTACTGTTATCTGTGCATTGGAGCAACATGTTAGTGATTAAAGTATACAGTTCACAAATGTACATCAAGAAAAAAAATGAATGGGAAGTTTAGAAGACAAAGCATGATGAGGAGAGAGATAAAGGAAAAGAGAGGGAGAGGAAGATAAAGAGAGGGTAAATGAGAAAGAGAAATTAAAAAAAAAGGAAAAGACAGAGAGGGAGACAGACACAAAAAGAGAAAGAATGAGAGGGAGAGAGAGAGAGAGAGTGAGAGAGAGAGTGAGAGGGAGAGTGAGGAGGGGTAAGACTTGAGGCTGTGCAATAATTATGTTTAAAAAACTCAACAGAATTTTAAATTTGGAGGTTTCCCCCAACATGACATTCTCTACCATTTTCATTGGTTTCTCATTTCCATTTAGGAAAAACAGTCTAATGAAAAACACCAAATACTGCATACATATCATAAATTATGTTTAAACAAAGGTAAGTCAGCCATGGAACTCAACTTGTGAGAGATCGAGGATGGAATACAATATACTAAATGACACATGCTCTACTAGATTATGATAAATTAAATGATTCAGCTATCAAACACATTGGCTTACAAGGCGTTTGACTGGTGAAGAAATGGAACCTCACTCCCTCCTTTAATTTGCATTTCCCATCTTCACCTGGCTGGTAAAAGATGCTGTTTTCATGACTCCCTGTCATCGCACATCTCAATTGATGATAGAGATACCTATATGCAATACAAATTGACAAACCAGATTTTAACTCTCTCTCTACGACTTCCCATTTTCTCTTTAACTCAACATGTTCACAAAGAATATCAACATATCACATAGACAAAATATGAGTATCAAATTAATTTTTCTAAATGTCATTTCAATTCAAATCTGATGGCCCAGTCAAGGAGTTAACAACAAAGAAGAATATCTTGATTGAACATTTTTTAAACAAGTAAAACTTCTTCCTTCATTCTACCCCTTCAACTGATCTTTTAGCACCAAATATTCTGTATCTCTTCATGTGCAAATCATGTGCCACTCTGTTTTGTTGGAGTTATGAATAAAACATTAAAGGGATTCGGTAACTTTGTCTCAGATTCTGAAACAAAATCCTGGATTTAGCTCATGCTGCAATGATAATGTTAAACCTTTAGGTCAGTCAGAAACCCCATGACTCTTACAAGTCGATCGCCTGTCTGATTATCACTACAGTCTATTGGGGAAAAACGAGTAAGGTAAAACCGGTCAATCAAAGATAACACGTGGGGCCGAGCATCTCAGATTTAACATTGTTAAACAATGCCTTTAATGTTCCAAAACACACACACAAACAAAAGTTGTTATGATTACCTCAGGAAGCCTCTCCTTGCAAGAACCTCAGCATGACTGTCATTCAATACATCACCTTTATCATAGCAGAAGGGGAGAATCAAACAAAGTTAAGTTTAAAGATCGCAATATATGTTGTCTGATTTCTTTGATTACTTTCATCTTGTTTACAATGGCCTGATAGTTCTTCATGGGATCAAACTTTACATAAAATAATGTATAATGTGTTGACAAATTTATTTCATGTGGTTTTCCAATTACTTTGAAAGACAAAATTTACATGTCCAGGAAAAATATTGAAACAAAGGCATTTCAAAGAAAGAGTTAATTTAAGTATGCAAAGATTTATCTTCTTTTTTTTGGACAAAGAATATTACTATTGCCAAACTGCAAGTTCTTTTTATAGTGTTTTTTTTAAATAGCTTTGAGTGAATTGGCTTAAGTGTCATTTTACCTAGCTCTTTCTCTGACTAATCTGGACTTCAATATTTTAAGATTCTCTTCACTGAATAGGAATTAACAAGCATACCTGTTTTACTCATCTTTGATGCGCCAACGCACTTTGAGCCAGTAGCCATGGACACCACTTTCAATTCCCTTTCAGACCCTGTTATTGGGGGAAAAAAGAAACTGAGCTGTACAAGAAGACTAATGAAATACTATAGCATTGATCAATATATAAATATCAATTGAAAACTTAAAGTAACAAAATTAAGTAATCATCAAGATCAAGATAAAAGATGACATGCATGCGCATGTAAATTTCATAACTGAAGCATACAACTCTTGGGAAGAAGTATCATGGTTACACCATGACAGTCAATGGACACATGAAAAGGAATCATCAAATACATGGTCACCCATATGCCATACTGGCCAAGTTCGAGTATTTTTTGTCTCACAATTGATACTGTAATGCCGTAGATATTACAGCCAGCGACGTGCAGGGTGTGATGGATAGTTGTAGATGCCTTTAGAGTTATGGGAGATCAGGTTGGATGATACATGGGCTAGCTGTAACTAGTAAGTAGGGTATAGACTCTAACCTGTCTTACTAGAGCACCTGTGAATGATGTTCTAGCTGGTCTTGTACCTTAAATTGCTGGAGAACGGTGCAGCAAGATCAGGCATTTCTGTATTTTGCAAATAACGTACATTATAATGTCCTACCTAGTTCAAAGCCTTCAGGAAGATTAGGTAGTGACGCTCTGTCCCTGAAAACAATGTTTGCACAGGAGACCCTATGGTCGGTTTCTGTCTCTAAAGAGAGGAGCTGACCCTACTCACACATAGGAGCATCACTATCCTGGCTGTGTAGTAAAAGCTGTGCTTTTGATTCTCAACATTTCAAACACCACTGTACAAAACTCAACTGATTTCACTCAAAATTGGTACTATGGTGACAATTGATGACACCTAAATAGCAGTAAAATACATTTTTTTCAACTTACAGATGTTAAAAAGAATAATTTAAAAATTCAAATTGTAAGTCTAGTGTCAAACTTTGCTTACAGCTGCATCGACATGACTGTGTAGAGTCCAAGCAATAATGTGTGGTGTGTACATGTATATTTGTGTATAGGTATAATAATACCCGCCTCACAGCAAGCATGCAGTGTTAGAGGTCAATACGCATTAGCATTGACTCTCTATGCTTTGCTGGAGTGACCCTACCCAAATAAGAGACTAACGATTAACGAACGAAAGAGAAAAAAAAAAATTGGTCTAGATCTATAGACGGCCTAGACCGTCATCAGAATTTCAATTCATGTCAGTCCTTAATTTCCATCTAAAAAACTTGCCTCATATTATATCACACTTCTAAATATTCAACCTTGATTGAACCAGTCTAATCTTAAGTGGAAGAAGAAGAAGAAGAAATGGGAGTGTTCGATGTTCTACACAAAATTATAATGCTGATCCACATCCCCCACGCCTATTTCTATACATGGGACTGGAGTGGGAGATATTGCTCTTACCATATAATTTCGACTGTAACACCGCAGCCAATAAAGTCCATTCCCGTCCATTCTCTGGTTTCCCTTTCCTTGGCAACGACCTTTCATAATGTGTCATGCAAATATCAGATACAGTTTGGTGAAATGACACACTTCCGAGCTTTTCCATTCTCAATTCGGCCTGCAGCTTTTTGGCCTTCTTCGGTAATGTCTACGCCTCTAGTCCTGGCGGGAAATGGCTTGCATTTCAGCAGCTAGCTAGCTGGATTCGACAAGACCTGGGAATTATAGTCTTATCTTTCAGGCTACTTTTTTTCTTCCTTCTTCTTCTTCTTCTTTTTCTTCTTATCATCATGAATATCTATCACTAATTATCATCATCACCATCATCATTTTCTTATTTTCCTATTATCATCATTGTTTAATTATTATCATTGTTCATTTCTGAGATTCTAAACATAATCTGTGAAGTATTTGGGCATTGAATTGGCATTGTAGCGCAATTTCATTTTCATCTTAAGTAGAATATCAGTTGTAAAAAAAGCAAATTCTCGTCTGAAATTTTTGTATGGACTTAAAAGCAAGACTAAAAGCAAGACGTATACTCTGTTTTGCTCTTATTCAATGTTTATTTGACTATGCTAACCCTGCATGGTATAGTAACATAAACATGTCAGATCAAAAGAAGTTGAAAATTATACAGAACAAAATGGTGAGATAACTGTTCTGGTCCAAGAACTCGTGTTGGCTACAGCGAACTTTCTAAAGCTGGTTTTCTTGAAGTCAACCAAATATCAAAACAACTAGTATTGCATCACGTGCATAAAATATATCATAGGCCTACCGAGGTCGAATCATTATATTCGATCCAACTTCGATCTTGTTACTGACTTTTTCGCTTTGAGATTTCCCACTGTAGGTGCCCTTTTTTCCAGAAAGTGCCCTTTTTTGTTGGTGCCCCCCCCCCCACTTTGAAAGTCGCTCGGCCGCCCCTGCTAACACTTGAGAGTCAGAGAAGAAATGCGAATGACATGTTATATGATTGAAATATTTATTCTTCTGTCGGTTCCTACTTTTTCATTTTGTATATACTTACGTTATAGAAATTCTACATATTCGAGATTATTTTCCTCTTCTTCCTCTTCCTCCTCCTGCTCCTCCTCCTCCTCATCTTTTTCTTCTTCTTCCTCTTCTTTTTCTTCTGGTAATTATTATCAGTTCTATCATTATTATTATTATTACCCCACCGGAAATATTTTTTTTTTTTTATCTGTTATTCTTGTAATATATTGTTGTATGGTGGAAGCTTGGCGAATAAAAAAACAATCAATCAATCAATCTACTCTAGCTCTAATTTTTCAATACAAAACTCATACTGTTTCATGTATTTTCCTCACATCTAAATCATATCCAAAACCCAGCCTTCCTGCTCATCACACATTCAAACCTATATACAAAACAGAAATTGTTGCAGCGCCATCTGTTGGAGCCCTCCGTAATCGACTGCTGATCAGACGGATGGTGATACTAGTCCCTCCATCCTATACATGAGTTTGTAAATATTTCTAAATAAACTGTATTAAATGTAAATCGCACTCGAATGGACGTAAATTACGGTTAACACACATACACACACACACACACACCCACATATACACACACGCACATAATTTGCAAGAATCTTCAGTCAATTGAAGGAGGCAGAAGGAGAACAATTATAATGAAACATAATATATCTCAATTAATTTTATTTCAACTTTTTTGGTTTCTTTTAAAAACTTTTATCCTGCTAGATTATTTCGATTTGATTTATTCATGTCTTTATGGTTTCTTTATTTTTGTGTGTTGGTTCTTTAATCCTCTGTAGTTCCCCGTTGATATTTAATTGGGAAACGGGTGGAAGTTGTAATTTAATGATGCCTTGCATCTTGCTTAGATTTCGATGGAGCTCTTTAATTGCTCTGAAGAGGAAGAAAGTTAATTTGATCAAAGCCCGAAATCATGTAGAGCCTCGATCCACCATGCTTTAATCATTCTTTACAGGATCGGATTCTGTGAGACGACTATGATGTTTTTACGATGTGTTTCTCCTGGGGCAGTATATCAATGAATTCCAATCTCCACTTTGTGAAATAACTTTAGATATCGCCAAATTTCCATGAGTTTATCCCTCAACTCTCACTGGCAGTCCTGCATGCAAAGGAACATCAACTGTTATGTACCCACTCTCGCGTCCTCTTTGTAGATGGTTTGCTAGACTTATGTGTACCTTATGAGGAGTTCAACCTATGGGGTCTGAATGGCAATGCATAACTTGTCCTTCATTGGGACATTGTTTGTTATGTCCTTACTCTTCATCCTCTTCATAGATGGTTTCCTGGATGCTTGCCTTCAGCTTCCTGGTGATTACCAGGGGATAATCTCTGCTCCAGAACTTGCCCATCTTCCTCATGATAGCAGCATGACCCATACGCCAGTCGCGACACGGTCCTCTCTTCACCAGGATGGAGGATACAAAGCTGTCCTGCTGGGCGCTGACTTTGTCCATCTGCTCTTGGACTCTGTAGAAGGTCAGGAAGTTCTTGTTCATTTCTCCAAGAAAGTCCTCTGAGTCACCCACAAGCTTCGTGCACTTTAAGTCGATGATCTCAGTTTTGGTAAGACCAGAGCCGGGAAGTCGAGGGAAGGGACCACAAGAGATACGAGCTGCTCTTCGAAGGGCTTTCTCGAGCTGGCTGGTGGTGTTCTTTGAGAGCTGGACCATGTCTCTCAGATTCCGGAGGACCTCTGTTGGTGCGCACTTCCTCAGGACCTTATCCATGTCGAGATAATCATCGGCCTTTTTGTTGTTATCCTCATAATAGTCAAGCTCTTCATCTAGTTCAGAATAATCCTCCGTGTTTGTTTCCTCACACTTGAGCCAGGGGATTTTTGTGTCGGTATCACCAGGCTTGCTAAAGTCCACTGATGATCCGATACTCATACCTTCCTCTACTGCAAGATCTCCTTCAACTGGAGATGGTGTCTTAGGCTCTTGCTCTTTCCAGCATTCCCTCCCCCTTCTCGAGAAGGGTCTTGGTTGCCATACCTCATCCATATTCAGGTCATTGTCTTGAATATTGATATCAACATCATTGTCGATTTCACTACTTGGTGACACTGAGGATGATTTAGTAATGACGTGCATATCGACCGGGTGATGGACTTCGTCTTTTGACGGCGTGTCCTCACTTTCAGCTTGGGTAATGTCTCTATCATTATCTGAGTTTCGAGTCGATTCCTTGTCAACCTCAGAATCGTTGAGGTTGGCTTCAGATGCAGCATCAAGAGCGGCTTTGTCATTATGTCGACTCTTTCCTACGTGCTGGTAGATCAAGTGATCGCTGTTTGATTGACTATTATCAGTTCTATCGGTCGCGAAGACTTCGGTTTCACCCACCGCACCAGGAAGGGAGAATCGACTGGGAGTGCTGACGTCCCGAATCGCACTCACAGAGGAACTTGATGCTAGTGGTGAGTAATGGTTGCTACAGGTAGATGGCTGCAGGAACTTACTGCTGCTTGAGAAGGCAACCGGACTCAGAGGCTCAACCTTGGTGCTTCTACGACTTAGCGACTTCTGTCCAATACTGATGTCACTGTCATTGTCACTAGGTTTGAGCGTTGTCACGGGTGTGCGTCCTCGAAGTCTGAAGTAGAGAGAGCGGACAGCAGAAACGATGTGGAGATTGGGGATCCTCCAGCGCCAATGACCACGCATAGGAGTCTGCTCCTTGTCGTCGATGATGGCAGGGCTGGTGGTCGTCAGGCCTTTCTGGGGTCGGGGGTGTGATCGATGAACAAACTAGGTGTACGGAAATGATATCAAGCAATTATAAATCATCATTATCATCATCAGCATCATTATCATCGTCATCATCATCATTATCATTCTAAAAGAAAATGGCCTTACATGTTTAACAATAGGTTAACAAAGACAAAACATTTATCCTCGATACCATTGGAGTTTGAGGTCTATTCAATGCCGCTTTACTTTTAATCAATGAATCAATCGAATCTTTCGAGTTTAGGCTACTAATGGTAATAACTATTTAACTGATAAGTATAAGAGACAGATTTATGAAAAATTGAACTTATTTTGCTCACTTTACCAATTAGGCCTATGAAATATATTATGGTTATTAATATTTTATATACGTATACTCACCAAGTTATTCATCTCTGTTCAACGTTGTATTTCCTTTTGCCTATAATAGATTTATCTCCGAATTCACGAATTGATCTCCGAAAAGAACAATTAATTCGTAAATGAAGACCAAAATTAGCATACGTTTCAAGTGAACTTGAAATGCGCCAGTAATGATACCGATGCTGTGTTTTCGTTGCTATTGTATTGAACCTGTTTGCGCTTCATACCGATATCGATGACGCAATAATGGTTTGCGCGTGTTATGATGTAACACTAAAGTACGCATACAAATTAATGTAGCATTTCCTCGCTCAATTATTAATGAGAGTAAGCTGTGCTGGAAAAAATTCATGTTTGCAAACTACCTCGTCGATACGGGTAAAAAGTGACAAAATGGCACGGCGATCCTTTTATCAATTTAATAAAAAAATGTGTTAAGAAAAGGGAACACAATCTGCCTGGGGGAGGTGGAGGGTGGGTGAGGCGGAGGGGGGAGGGGAGGGGGTCAGTCTGTTGATTGCCAGAAGCTTAGTGCAGTCAGAAGCGAAATCTAAATTTTGGATTATGTACTGAGGAGAGGGGAATAAATTCCATGTTCTGCCGGGGAGGCAGGGCGGCAATAATAATGGATAATAATGGAAGTTCCGTAGACGCTCAGGGGCACTTTTTAGAGATTTATTTTATTTGGCAAAACAACAGGAATCATAAAAATAGGCCTACCAACTACCGGGGCCCGTGAAAGGCAAACGCAAACAGGAAAATAAAAAGATAAAACACGCAGGAGAAAACTTTGGCATATAAGATAATAGAAAAATAATTCAGGGCAAGTTTACTTTCACTTTAGCTTTTGTTCAGTGAAAGTTTACACAACGAATAGGCCCACCGCCATTTCTTTTATGACCCCTTCTCACTACATCCCAGCGGTGGTGTGAACCTTGTGATCCGTACAAGCAAGGGTCATTTCAGGTCAAGCTCCCTTCGTAGTAC